ATGAGTTGCCTATTATGGAATTTTGGGTGTTAGCCTTTCAACATAGCTATAGACTCTAAACCAAGGGACTTGAAATTTAATATTAAAAAGTAGATAAACACAAATTTCTAATACAGATACGAATTAAGAAAAAATTGACTTAGTAGGATGTATGTGAAACATTCTGAGAAATATATCACACTTCCTATTCCCACAAACACAGAAGCCAAAAACTATCTTAGGACTCATGCCTACATTTGTAGACTGTTGTACTGGTTGTGGTTTATGTCCAAGGCCAGAGTCTGGCCTCTGTTCAGTTTACTTTCAGAGTACTGTGAAGAGGTAGAGGACACCTTCTAGAAAACCCCAAATTTAGTCGAAAAAATTTGATTAGGTGTCATCAGATAGTATTAGACTCCATTGTCTGGAGGCAGAGATACCACATTCTTTAAATATTTAATTGACCAAAGCAAAAGGAACTGGTAGAAATCTTTCTTCTTAAAAAAAATCAAATTTAAAATTAATAGTTGAGATACAACTTTCATTTTGATTAACAGATGAATTTGAATAACACATCCCTCAATGTTTATTTTGCTGAAATTAAACACTATTCTGTGTGTGTGTGTGTGTGTGTGTGTGTGTGTGTGTGTGTGTGTGTGTGTGTGTGTAGATGGGGAAGCTGTGGGAAACTGTTTCTCAACCGCAGAGGAAACTGGGTTGCATGATGTATGTATTGGTTAACCTTAGTAATAAACTTGAAGGGATATAGAATCACCAGGGAAACAAACCCCTGGAAATGTGAGTGAGGAAGTATTTAGAATTGGTTAACAGAAGTTGCAGACCTATCCTGATTAGGAGCAATGTTGTTGCCTAGGATTGGATTCTTATCTGAACAAAGGAACAAACATAGCAGTAGCCCTCATCACAGTTTTCTGTGGAGACCATCTGACAAGCTTCCTTCAGGTTTCCCGCTGTGACTTCTCAAGCACAGACAACTTTACTGTCAAACTTTTGTGAATGGCAGACAGTAAAAACACATTGACCCCATTGACAAAATAGCCTCATACAGTTTACTATACATAAATGTATAGGTCTTGAGGATTCAAGGTAAAATTATACTTGTTTAAACAATGTTTGCCCATCTTTTGTTTAAATTTGCCTTATTAAGTCCCTACAGTCTTCCAAACTAGTCATCATCTGACCAACTTCCTCACTGAGTCTACTTGAAAGTTGCACTTATAAAAACAATGTCATTCCTATAAGGTCATCACTTAGCTATGTTTCCCTTGGCATGTAGCTTTTCCAATTCTGTATCCTCAATAGTTTTAACTTTTCCTCTATGTATCTCTACAGTGTTTCAGTTTAATTTATTTTATTTCTGAGCTGCTATAATTATAAACAAGAAGGTAAGATTCATCAGACATCTAATATAGAGACAAACTGTTTTTATTAAGGGTCAGATAGCACTGTGTGTGTGTGTATGTGTGTGTGTGTGTGTGTGTGTGTGTGTGTATGTGTGCATGTTTGCATGTTTGGGAGTGTTGTTCTAGACAAGTCACTTCTGTCATGCTAGGCAAGCAATCTGCCAGCTGAACTGTTGCATTCTTATCCACTGACAACAAGTTTTACCTAATGCTGCCTTTGTACTTGAAAGCAGTCATAGACATTATTCAAATTTTAAATAATGTGGGTATGTCTTCCCCAAAAGACCTTTATTTCTAAAAATTAAAAATCAGCTTTATTTAATTTTCATCAATATTATAAAAATGATCTTTTACTTTTAATCACTTAAATACAGAAAAGCATTTCTATTCAAAGCCCATATTAGTAACAATAACAACAGATAGACTTTCCCAGAATCAGCAACTCATAGGTAGAAACTTAGGTCCAATTTGAGTGCAGCAATCAGGATGTCATTGAAAAAAGTATCGGGGTGTTTTATTTTACAAAACTAAGTGAGAGAGGAATATTTTTGTAATATATTTACCTAAGATGCAAATTTTCACTTTTGTTTTTTACAACAGAGTTTTTTTCCATTCTCCGTTAGTTTTGTTTCGTCTTATTCCCTGCCATCACTTGTAAAATATGAGCAATTTATTAAGCATGTGGACGTTTTTCACAGCTCTACTTTCTCTTCAGAAGCTCTTTCTCTCCATATGAGGCTTCGGTATTCAGCATTATACTTTCAACTGGCCTTCACGTTTAGAACCTTGTCAAACAATTCAACTCACAGACACTACTCTAATTATACTCAGGGGCCCATTACGTTCAATGTGACATCTCAGTCAGCCATTTTCTTTGGAAAAAATACAACTGCCCTAAACTACATTTAATTAGCATAGACAAAGTAAGTTTACTAAACAAGATTTAAGCTATGGAGTATACTAATACCAAACTCAAATGCTTTGGTTATTATCTGAAAACCTGGCTCTGTCACTTAGCATGTCAATGTTTCAAATGCAAAGTAAATGCTGTCTGGTAAGAAAGGAGACCCATGCAGATGTGTTTGTCAGCATTACTAAAAGCCAGTTGGTCGGCCCTTTGATAGTGCAGTGAGAATTGTCTGCTCTCTGTAATCAATCTCAACTACAGCAATGTTTCTCATGTCCTTATTACCAACAAGATTTATACCATGATCCAAAACTTCCTCAACTCTGTCTGCTGCCAAATTTCTGAAAATATTTGTCCCAAGAGACAAAGAAGTGGAAGATCAGTATGACTTAGTAGGTGTTGGCATGCTTTTGAAGACATAAAGCTCTTTACTGCATTATTCCCTTTTTGGACATTTCCTTCCTTCCTAGATCTCCTTCCTCTGCATTCTGAAACTTAGTTCAAGAAACAACATAAATATTTCTGAGTTATAAACAATATAGTTATGTGTTGATAACTAAAGACACTTCAAGAAATTTAACTTCTTCCTGCTACTTACAGCAACTTAAAGAAACATAGAATTGTTAAAAGATGCTTCCAGATTATAAATTTCAATTAACATGAGTTGTTATACAGACAACTATGTGTATATCGAAAATAGTAATAGCCAAGTCTCCTGATATCCTTCTGTGCTTTTGGATTCAAAATATATAAGGCATAATCTCATAATTTATAAATACACTTTTAAATACAAAAGTCTTTGCTGTACACATTTTATTGATGCCTTACCTAGATGAGAAGTTATATAGATTTAAAAGTTATATACTGATATTAAATGATTCTATATGGTCTATTTTTGATAAATGAATAAAAGAATCTTTTTATAATGACAGTTTATTATTAGTTATGTGCATATGTAAATGTGTGTCTGTCAGTGTATGTAAAAGTGCACGTGTAGCCAGAGTCAAGAAGAAGGTATCAGGTCTCATGGAGATGGGGTTACAGGCAATTATAAACTGCCCATGTGGGTGCTAGGAACCACACTTGGGTTTTCTGCAAGAGCAGTGCATGCTCTTATCATTAAGCCATTTTCTAACCATAACACCTTGTAATTAAAACTAGTACATTTAAAAATGTTAAAATAGCATCTACCACAAGGATAAGAATTATTTGAAGAATTTTTATGCCTTTAAAGGGCCACTTCAATGTCATATTCTTAGTGCTAAAATTTTTCCAAAATATTAAGTGTAATAACAGAAAAATTCCTTGAGTAACAAATCATCTTATAACTTAGGGTCTTCTGAAGCCATTATGGGTGCAAACACAGTTTTAGAATATGTCATTCCAAGTGGCCTCTCTAAGGAAAATGTCATCTCACTGGCTTCCCCCCGGGGAGTGATTTTTAGTAGTTGATCTTGGTATTTGCAATGAGATTTTATTCCTCTCCTTATCTGTAATTATACTTTGAAAATGATATGAGACATATGTCATTGTTAACAGAAACAGTTTTAAAGGAAAAATAATGTTTTTAACTAAGTAAATTTATTTTTTGTTTGTTTGTTTGTTTGTTTTTTGGTTTTTATGAGACAGGGATTCTCTGTATTGTTTCAGAGGCTATCGGTCCAGCCCGGCCTCGAACTCACAGAGATCCGCCTGCCTCTGCCTCCCGAGTGCTGGGATTAAAAGCGTGTGCCACCACTGCCCGGCAGTAAATTTGTTCTTAACATCCTTCCAGTATTACTTTTTGTGTTTTAATTTTTAACACAAAGTTGCACTCAGTAGTTGTCCATTCTGGCCACTAGCTAGTGAGTTTCCTTTCTCAGCCTACATCACACTGGAACTACAGTTGCATGCCACTTTGTCTCAGTACTACAAAGACTGTTTGTCCAGGATATACTTCACAACTGCCTAGATTCAAGTGCTATATGCAGAAAAAATACAAGTAATTATTATATTAAACGAAGACCATGTGGCATGAATTATCCTTTATTTACAAAAATTTGATCTATTTATAAAACTTGTTTTGTTATTTCTTATTGTTGATCCAATCTGATAACCTCAACCTAAATATGTTGCAAAATAGTAAGAAAAATATATCATACATGTCCAGATGCTTAAATGAACACAAACAGTGAATACAACAAATACATAATATACTCACATATACACTTTAAATAATAATTACACTGCTGTCTCTTACAGGATATTGTAAAATTTATAAAAACTCAGCTATTATTTTTACATTATTTAGATAATACATCCATGCTGTGTAATTCATATTTTAGATGTTGACTACAATGGGAAAGATTTATCTATACTTCCATTGTGGTACATTTAATAAGTGGCAGAATTTTACTCTCATTTGTCTGGTGTTATAAAGCTTATAACACCATGGATAGAACTACATACAAACATCTGTGCATGCAAGAGTCCAGATAAGTTGAAGTATATAACTTACTCCCTTATGTTCTTTTTGCAAGAATTTAAAGTTTCTCAAGTTGGTTTAAATATCACATCATGTGACTAATTACTATGAGTAGTTTTTGTCCCCTTCATATACTATTTGCTATCCTTTAGACATTAGGAGTGAGATTTACTTATGGCGATAGAACAAATGGACAAAGTGAAGGTAATTTAAGATGAGACACTACCTTAATAACTGATGTCTCCACCCTAGATGGAGGACTCTGAACTTGCGCTGCTGCCGCCATATTTGCGATGGTGCTAAGGTGGTTCATCTGGCTCATGGCCATGGTGACAGATGCTGGAGGTAGGCTTACAGGAATTAGAGGGTGGGGCATCATCATAAAAGGAAGTTCCAGTCCTAAAACCAGAAAAAACACAGATCATCATTGCTGTGTTCCAGTTAAAATCATCAATATCATGTCATTAAGAGGGAAACCATTGAAAAATATTCTAATAGCGACACGCAGAGGAAAACTATTTGCTTATTTGTATAGAGTAATGTTCACTCATGACAGGGAAATCAAGCTTACAGCTAACTAGCTTGGTGCCATAGTTCATCACATCGTGTGTGTGTGTGTGTGTGTGTGTGTGTGTGTGTGTGTGCATGTGCATGTTTAATATAAATACTCTGTTCTTGGCTTTATTATTCCTCTGGGCAATGTAGTAATGTATAGAGATGCTATACTTTTCATTAATTCGCTGTGTGAATGCAATATATCTTTTATCGTCCTACTAATGATTAAAGAAAAGAACTTTTAAAACTACACTTTTAGTGCTAAAAATTGCCATCATACCATTCGACAGAAGGTGGCTGTGCTGAAGATGGCTGAGAGGATGGCTAACTGGAAGGCTATATGCTGCAGGCATACGGGCATGTGTAACAGGAACCTGAGAGCCCTGGCATGGGGAAGAGACCATTGTTTCCTTATCCCAGGAACCACCACTGCTGCCTGTGGGAACGAATATAAATTATTTGGATATAACATTAATCCAAATCATCCAAACACTAATTTTAAATGATATCTGAAGAGGTTTAACATAAGGGAATTAGCAATTGGATTCGAAGGGAAGCAGGTTGAAGTAAGAATTTTTTTTCCCTGAACTGTGTCTTTTCTCATTTCTTAGACAGGTTGTGAGATTTCAGCAAAGCAATGTTTTTGAAACATTTAACCTGCTTATAAGGTTTAATCCTGTTTGAACTAACCAACGCAATAGTAAGTTATCTTTGTCATGTAACAAATTCTCCTTTGAACCAAAGTAGAATGAATATTACACAATGCAAAGTTATACTTTTAGTAAATGGTAAGATGGAAAATGTTAAGTTAAAGTGCATGACTTAATTCTAACACAAGTTTTAAAAAAAGGATTCATAATAGCAGAACTTGGTTAGACAATAAACATAGAACACAAAATATCACTTTAGAAAGCATGATAAAGTCAAAGAAAATTACCAACAGTATGAGAATGAATACATTAGTGGATTTCAAACTAAAAGAAACATAAACGTTGGATTGGATCAGTATCATGGACAAAGCTAAGCGTCAATTGTCGTACAGTCACTTCAATATTCAGGACAATGCTAGAAGAATGTAAGTCTTGAGATAATTTGTTAGGATTTCTTAGAAGGATTTATAAATCATGTCTTCAAATTAGTTTGGCATTATTCTTCAAATTAGTTTGGCATCATTAATATTCCTCTAGAACATTTAAATAAAAATCAGCCATTTAATTATTTGCTACCTTATGAGTTTATTTTAAAATAGATGAGAACATCATATACATAGAAACAGCAAAGTTGGTACAATTCTAATTTAATGCTTACGCTCTGCTAAAAGCTTTGCTTTAAAATCTCTACTGAAGACGACTTAGTTACTGCCATGATATTTTTCTTTTTACTTCATGAAGACAGTTAAGGTTCAATATAAATTCAAACTCATTAGTTCAATACTGTCTGTATCTCAGTAAATTGTTCAGAAGTGGGTAATGAAAATTCAATTCAAATCTTCAGCAATCAAACAAAGCAATTTTATTAAACAATGAAAAGAATCAATTAAAATGGATATCTTTATTATTTTACTAGAAACCATAACAGCTTTTAGTTTTAAAAAGTTTATAGCTTTATTCAGAAGTGACTCACATAAAAGCTATGTCTCCAACATGCTCCCACACTCGGATTCAAAAGTTCATTTTCATATTCAAGAATTTTATATACCTTATTCCTCTTACACATGAGTTTTTTATTTATTCCAGAAAAATGTGATATAACTGCATAAAGGCATCATATTAAGAGAATACTAGGATAAAATACCTCAAATAATCTCACCTTGTTTTACATATTTAAATCATAGCAAATGTAAATTTTAAGATAGTAACTTTGAAAGGAAAATGGTAAATAAATTCTGCTTGAATAGCTGCGCAAAAATAACACTTACTTTCCCATCTGTGTGGCACCCTACTCTGTCAAATTCTTAGTATGGGAGCTGTCAGAATGCCATATAAGTGTTTTTCTCAAGACGTTTCTTACGTGACACTGAATTTCTCACTACATAGAGGGCTCTTAGCCATCTCCACCAATCATCATTTGTTAAATACTCATGATGTTAGCTCATTTAGGTAATAAATAGAACAAACAATTAAGAACTAAGTCTGATGAAAAATATACAACATATAACCAAGTCAAGCCTAAGTGATTTTTGCATTATTTATAGCAAACTCCTTCTCCATTAGCATGAACAAATGAGAAATGAAAAGAGGCCGCTACAGAACAAGACATGTCTACAATTAGTAAAATAATTTCAAGTATTTTCAACTCATACAATATCTATAACACTGTAAATGAGCACGCGTGTGCACACACACACATACACACACTTTGTTTTTACATATCCACAAATTTTTTAAATTAATAATTACTATAAATTATATTTACTTGAAATAGAATTACATCAGATTCCTCCTTCCCTCCAACACCTTCCAGCTCCTCTCTCAAATCTTTGCTGTGCCTATACCTCTCAGGTAGATACCCTCCTTTTCTCTGATTATTATTGTTATGCAAGTCTATGCATACACAAGCACACACATATACACATATACACATACAACCACTGAGTTCAATTTTGCTGTATGTGTGTTTATGATTCCAAGGCTGACCCTCTGCTCTGGGCGATCAACAAGGGCATTGTCCTGGAAGGGCTAATATTCCTTTTCCCAGTAGTCTTTAGTTGCCTGTAGTTCTCCATGTGGGGGGAGAACTCTACAAAGTTTGCCCTCTTCCAAACCAATATTTTCATTGATATTTTCATAATTACTTTTAAGACCACAAGGAAAAGCATTGCTTTAATAAGTAGAAAAATGGCTTCTTTTACATGTCAATCCCAGTTCCCTCTCCCTCCCCTCCCCCTGCACTCCCCTTGCCCCCCACCCTCCCACCCTATTGCCAAATCCTTCCACATAGGGGATATCTAGAGTCTGTCATTTTACTCTGGGTAGGGTCCAGGCACTCCCCTAAGAGTCCAGGCTGAGAGAGCATTCCTCCTTGTGCTATAGGCACACGGAGACTGTTTGTATACCAGGGATAGACACTGATCCACAGCTCAGGGCCCCATAGGTTGCCCAGGCCTTCTCGCTGACACTCACATTTGGGGGGGTCCAGATCAGTCCCATGCTGGCCTCCCCACTGACTAAAAAATGATATAAAAAAATGGAAAACAATACAAACCAAAAAAAAAAAAAGAATTGTATTGGACTCTGATGTGGATTGTAGTGAATCACTCCATTTCTTTTGGTCAGATGATTATCTTTACTATGTTAATTCTACCAGACCATGAGCATGGAAGATCATTCCATCTTCTGATATCTTCTCCAATTACTTTCTTCAAAGATTTGATTTTATTATCATACAAGTTTTTCACTTGCTTGCTTAGAATTACAGCAAGATATTTTATGTTATGTGGCTATTGTGAAGGGTGTTTTATCCCTGATTTCTTTCTCAGCCTGTTTGTCATTCATATATAAAAGTGCTACCGATATATTTTGGTTAAGCTTATATCCAGCCAATTTGCTAAAGTTTTCTATCACTGTAGGAGTTCCAAGGTAGAATTTTGGGGTTGCTTATATATACTGTCATATCATCTGCAAATAGCAATACATTGACTTCTTCCTTTTCAATTTATAACTCCTTTGTCCTCTTTTATTGTCTTATTGCTCTAGCTAGAACTCTGATTACTATATTTAATAGATTTGTAGATAGTGATTTTAGTGGAATTGCTTTGTTTCTCTCCATTTATTCTGATGTTGCCTATAGACTTGCTTTAAATTACCTTTGTTGTCTTTAAATGTCCCTTGTATCCATGATTTTTCCAAAAATTTTATGAAGGCATGTTAGATTTTGTCAAAGGCATTTTTAGCATCTAATACGATGCTAAAATTATGTGTTTAATTTTTCATTAAGCTGATGTGGTGGATTACATTTACAAAGTTTTGTATGTTTAACCATCCCTGTATCTCTGGGATAAATCTTATTGATAATTGTGGATGATCTTTTTGATGTATTTGATTTGTGACTATTTTACTGAATATTTTTGAATAAATATTCATGAGGAAAAAACAAAAAAATAAGTAGAAAAATGATAGCATTTTATTTGCAGGAAGTAGAAATAAAAAGAAATTGATTCAGTTTTTCTAGAAGGAGTTTATTTTCCTGGAAGCCAAAATAAAAAGATGATACTGGTTGGGCATTGGTGGCACACGCCTTTAATCCCAGAATTCGGGAGGCAGAAGCAGGCAGATCTCTATGAGTTTGAGGCCAGCCTGTACTACAGAGCAAGTTCTAGGATAACCTGCAAATCAATACCTGTCTCAAAAAACCAACCCCCCCAAAAGCAAACAAACAATGATTCTGATACAGCCCTTGCATTTTGAAAGAGATAGCTACTTACTCATAACTCAAAGAATAATCAAAGATATAAAATTGTAAATCCCAAAGGAAGTATTCATGAGCTCTTCAAAAAATTCATATTGCTCTGTTTTTCATAATTTAGAATTATCAATAATAATATAATATTGAACTTGATCAAAGGTATTCCTCCCAACCCTGGACAGATCACAAGTGAACACAGGCTAGATATTGCAGGTATAAGGAGGTATGGGCTGTTAACAGAAAGGCAAAAAGGAAGTTGTTATATAATGAAACCAAGTGATCAAGCCATATGTGCCATGAAGAACACCTATTGTCACATTTGGTTTTTTTCAATTTTTAAATTAATGATAATATTTTACTTTCAATTTCTGTCTCCATCCATGATTTAATATTACAGTTCCTTTCTGAAATAAAGTGTTGAATTTGGAGTGTTCATTCTATTCATTTAATTTTATTTTTAGTAAAATGTTCTTAAAATGGGATTTATAATGTAGCCATATTCCACGCTCTAAAAAGAAAGATGATCAACTCAGACTTTGAAGCACAATTAACAGGCAGGTCAGGAAATAGAAAGTGTTTGAAAAAATATGTTTAATTTCTCTTTGATAAACATAAAAATTGAGTGTATGAATGAATGACACCATTTATAATCCTACTATAAATAATTATTTTATAATTTAATCTATTCCTTTCGTTCTTATATATACCAAGTAATGAATAGATTACAGAACATTTGACCACAGTATTTTCAAATGAGTGTTGAATAGAGTACACAGAAAGTAATTGAACAGAACTCATGGAGACCTGTAAATATTTCTTTATATTATTATGCATTAAAATTAATAAAAATATATTCGACTATTATTATACTTTATACCTTTATACGTGGAATGAGTTGTTTTGATTTCCCACAGGTTGACCCTGATAAAAGAGACAAATCTCTAAGGGATTAACAGTCACAGCACTGCTTACTGAGTGACAATGATAGACTGTGAAAGGAACCTGACATTGTCAAGATTCTTTTACAATGAA